CCACTTAACGCCGTGGACCCACTCCGAAGGGACTTTTTCCCTTTAATTGACTTGAAATATAAATAGAAAACAGCACCTTCTCTCAAAAGCACACTGGTACTTGGGTTATTTATTTATATAATTTTTATATAAAGTATTACATATTTATGTAAAATGAAAAAATTATTATTAAATAATATGTAAAATTTTATGAAAATTTATTTTAAAAAATTGACTTTAAAGTATATTTAATTTTAAAATATAAATATTTGACTTTTTGTACACATTTTACACACTGTTTTTTATAATAATATAAATAAATTTTTTAATTTATATTTTAAGATTATATTTATTATATTTTTTATACATTAAAAAAAATAAAAATAGCCATTAATTTTCTCAATTATTTTCTTTAAAATATCCACATGACATAGCTTGAAGCTAGTGTCAATTTTTTTTATTTTTCTAAACAAATTAATGTTTAAAAAGTGTAATAAATTTAGCATAAACTTTGTGTTGTTAGACACATTTATATATAAATGATAATTGAAATGTATTTCTCTATATGTAATTTTTATTGAGTAATTTTATTCAAATTTAATTATCATTCATAGAAGATAAATTTTTCTAACATATATCTTAGTAAAAGAAAGAGTTAGGGAGGCACATGCACACCACACCTCCCCCTTGGACCAAAAACAAAAGCAGAGTGCAAAGCCCCAGTCCTGAATCCTTCACATGTCTGTCAACAAGTTCTGCTTATGGAACTACAAACACCCACTAGAAGACAGATTCTAGGTTACCATTACCATGTGAATTGAGTGAAGAGAAGGGGAGGGGAAAAAGAAAGAGATTTTGGTTGCATTCTAACTGCAGGATCAAACTTGGACTCCGCCCCCTCTGTGTAGCAGCTGTTGGGTGCCGTGGGACTGTAATTTCTTGAAACTAGGCGGACTGTTTATCTAATAGTTTCAACAATTTCAAGGCAATTGAATTCCAACCCAACCCATGCAACCTTCCTCCAAAAGGATAAGAAGAAATTAAAATAAAAAAAACCCAAAAAGAGAATGGAAATCCATTGGCATGCGTGCATTCTGAAATGGTCCATGGCTATTAAAGTTACTTACGCAGTAAATTAACTAGTCCTTTGCCATTAACTACAACTTAAATGCTTGCTGATCCTCAAGATCCACAATCTTGCATGCTACTGTTGCCCTACCCAGTAGAACCTAAAAACTCTTGCCAAGTAATAAAGGATGACATGAGAAAGAAAGTTATATATTTTGAATAATTGTACAATTTTTTTCTTCAGTTATGGTTATAAAATAAATTGTTAAGGTCATATATAAATTATATTTTTGTTTACTTATTGAGTGGACGAAAATGTAAATTAATAAAATAAAAAGTATAATTCATGTGGCCATAACTGAAATCCAAATTTTGGGTGGGAGAATTGAATCCAAGATTCAAAGCCCAAGGAATGAAATAGGTAGATACACCATCAACCAAATAGCTTGAGAAGCAACAATTAAGAACTTGCTTGAGGAAATCAGTAGTCTCTAACCTAATGTGCTGAATTATCGTCGGCACAAGTGCCCTTGGAGAAAGTCGGAAAATCATCAGCACCCCATCGGGCACTTCTATCTTCCACCGGCAAGTTTTGGACGGATCCGTACAAGAGGGTGGGTGGTGTACATGAGTATATATAATCAACATGTTTTATGATTGGAATGCGGACATTGGTGTTTTGTCTTGTTAATTTTCTTTCTTTTTCTTCCTGTTTATGATATCATTCTTTTCTCCAAATTTTTGTTCTTAACTTTTTGCATGGATGTCGATGGCTTGTCTTGGTGTTGCAATAAAGCCAGAACCGATGGTGACTTTCAAGGAAAGTTTGGATCCACGGGGGTCCTTAGAAAATGGTTTGACACATATACAATTAATTAATCACTACCTATCCTTATTTACTTTTTTTAGTTATAACTCTCTCTCGTATTTCTTTACTTACCACGTTCATACTTCTTAAAATACTAGTTTAATATCTTTTATTTTTATTAAAAATTAATTATTAATGTGCTGACTATTTCATATTTTTAAAATTATTGTCTTTGGTATTAAATTATAGATATTTTTTATTTTAAAATTAAAAATTTAAGGGCAATTTTTACTTTCATTTATTTTATTTTTTAAAAATAAAAAGAAATTTTTATATAAAAAATAATTAAAATTAAGAGATCATCATGAAGTCAAAATAATAAAAAAAATTTATCTACTTTGAAATATTGAAAAAAACTTATTTTAAAATAAATTTTAAATTAAATAATATTCATTATTCTAAAATAAAGCAAGTATAACTAAGTTCAATTAAATTCAAAAGCTCTAAAAAACTCGAAATGAAAAAAGAAAAAAGAAAAAAGAAAAAAATATATATAATTCATAAAAGAAAAATAATAATAATAAGGGGGAAGAAGAGATGGAGACTACTAGGGTTCGAGAGAAGGATGCGGTGGCCAGAGAGGACAGCGACTTCCGACGGTGACAAGGGCTCAGGCGGCGGATACCAGGGTTCAGTAATCAGTTGTCAGGACAGGTTCGAACATTCTTTTTCTACAATTTTCCTGAGACTCTGAGGGCAAAGGGTCTGTGGTTTTGTTTTCAAGAGTATGGAAAGGTCGTTGATGTCTTTGTGTCGAACAAGAGAGATAAATGGGGAAAAAGGTTTGGATTTGTTCGTATGGTAGGGGTGATGAATGAGTATCAAATGGAGAAGAGGCTCAATGAGATCTGGTTTGGTTTTTATAAGTTACGGGTGAGGATTGCAGATCGTCCATTGAAGCAGAGGTCAGGGCATGAAAAGGTGGCAAGAAACAGTGCGAACAGATTGGTTCAACCGGGGCAATCTTATGCACAGGCAGTTGTGGGAACAGCCTGAGGTATGTCAAGAAACAGAATCATGAAAAGGTAGTAACTGAGAAGGAGAAAGATATGGTTCAGGTAGATATTGCACCAGAGCAGATAATACAGCTTGATAAGAATGAGGAGGTTGGATCGTGTGATAAGAAGAAGAGGCAGAAGGGGACGGTGGGAAGTATTGGGGAACAAACGCAAGAGGCGATCATTGATTTTTCTCTGATGGAGGAGGAGCTTCATTGGCTGGAAGGGAGTTTGGTGGTGATATTGAAGTCCTTAATGTCAACAACCAGTATACAGGAGAGAATTGATGTGGATGGAGGATTGATCACGATATCACCATTAGGGGGCGAGCAGTGTTGTTAATTGAAAGAGTGAAAGGTTATTTGGGTGAGTATATGGAACAGAATAAATAATTGTTCGATACATGGTTTGAATCCATATAGCCATGGGCAGTGGCGTTTCCGCAGAGAAGTAGACTAGTGTGGTTACGAATTACAGGGGTCCCGTTGAAAGCTTGGAGTGACAGGTGCTTTACATTGATCGAAGGCACAGTGGGTGAGGTGGTGCTGGTGCATGATGATACAAAGAATAAATCTTTTCTGTGTGAAGGAAGGGTATTAGTTCTATGTACTGATGCAAGCAAAATAGCTAAATCTGTACAATTGCAAATCGAGGGCCAGCTCTATGAGGTAGGGGTTTTGGAGGAAGAATGGAGATCAGATCCCGATTGGTGGTTATCGGACGGCGATCGGCGAAGCTATATAGGAGCATCATCGGAATATTCCGTTTCACAAAATGGTGATGAAGATCATGAATTTAATATTGACGAGATTTGCGTCGAAGAAGATGATAGCATTGATTTGGAGCAGTTTCAGATGGAAGGAAGTTTGAATTCAAATAATAAGGAGATAACGGGACATGAGGAATCTGGAGTGAAGGGCAGGATTGCACAGAATATGGACGATGGGGGGATAGTGGACTCCAATGGGCTAGTAAAGGGTAAAGGGTTGGTAGTTGATAATGGGCTGGGAGTTAGCAGTACAGAGGTGGACAAAAATTGCAAAAGTATAGGACCCAATGACAAAGATCTAGAAGAAGCAGCACGTGACAAGGTTAGTAAAGAGGTGATGGGTAAAAGGCTGAGACACCTTGTAGATTGTTATCCACAAGAAGTGAAAGAAACTCGGGAAGAACACGCAATCTGGGTGACTGGGCGGACGAAGCAGAGACGTGCGAGGAGGGTGAAAGTTTAGCAGTGGCCAGAGGAATCGGGAAGGAGTCAGCAAGAAGTAAGAAGTGATTCTCTTTCAGATGGGTGTATTGCTCACCGGAACAGGGTGATTCAACATGAGCTAAATCTGTAAGAGGTAAGGAGGGTGATTAGAGCTGGGCGAAGGCTGGGCATGCAGTTCCACGGAAATGAAGAGGAGGTGGAATCTTAGTTTTTAGAGCTGGAACAAAGGGATGATGTTAAGGGGAAAAATAGATAAGATAATGGGTCTGTTCGGAGGTAGTGCAGCTGTGGGCTTTGTCTGAAATGAAGTTTTTTTCTTTTAATGTCAGAGGATTGGGGGGAACGGTGAAAAGGAGGGAGTTGGGTAAATTAGTAAGGGTAGAGAAACCAGACTTTTTATTTTTACAAGAGACCAAATTAGAAGAAGTAGATGAAGGATTGTGTAAAATGTTGTGGTACTTAGATGAGTTTGGATGTAGTATGAAAAGTTCGATTGGAGCCTCAGGAGGTTTGTTGTGTGTGTGGAGTAGGACAATTTTTGTCAAAATGGAGGAATTTTCAGGGGACGGGTACTTGGGTATAAAAGGGGTTTGGGGTGGAAACAAGGAGCCGTGTATTTTTGTGAACGTGTATGCTTCGACTGATAGAAGGAGAAAGGTTGAGCTATGGGATGAGCTGCGACAGAGAATTATAGAGGAGGGTGGGAGATGGTTGCTGGCAGGGGACTTTAATGCTGTTCGGTGTCTTGAAGAACAAAGGGGAAGGACAGGTATGAGTGTTGATATGTCGGAGTTTGATGCTTTCATAGAGAATACAGGGTTGGTTGATATTAAGTTGGCCAACCGGAAGTTTACATGGTATAGACCAGATGGTACATCCATGAGCAGATTGGATAGGGTATTGCTGACTGTGGAGATGAGCAGTATGGGTGAGGAGTGGGTGCAACAGGGGCTGAAGGGAAATATATCCGATCATTGTGCCATTATTTTGAAAACAAGAGTCACGGATTGGGGACCAAAACCTTTTAGGGTGTTGGACGTTTGGTAGCAACATCCAGAATTTAAGAAATTAGTTAAAGACAAATGGTTTGAGATGGTGGTAGATGGTTTTGCAGGTTATAGATGTTTACAGAAACTAAAAATGTTGAAGAAATTCTTGAAAGGGTGGAATAAGGACGTGTTTGGGGATATAGAAGCTAAATTTCAAGCTATTGCTGATAAGGTTGCTTGGATTGATATGAAGAATGAAGAGGCTGTTTTAGAAGTGGAAGAGTTGGCTGAAAGACAGGAAGGATTTCATGAAATGTGGGATATTATGAAGAAGAGGGAAAGTATATGGAAGCAGAAATCAAGATGTAGCTGGGCCAAATTGGGGGATGCTAATATGAGGTTCTTCCACAAAGTTGCAAATGGTAGAAAGGTTTATAATAACATTAATGGCTTCTCGTGTGAAGGCAAGTGGGTGGAGGAGCCAGAGGAGGTGAAGAAAGAGGTTTTCAGGTACTTTAGTACGATGTTTGAAGGAGAGTCATGGCAACGTCCCAAGCCTGTTGGAATCAATTTTAAACAAATCTCGGAAGAGATGAAAGACGGGTTAGAAAGGCCATTTTCTGAAGAAGAGATTGAGGAAGGTTTGAAGAGCTGTGAGGGAACTAAAGCACCAGGGCCGGATGGATACAATTTTAGTTTTCTCAAACTTGGATGGAACTGTTTGAAGGAAGATTTTATAAGTTTTTTTGCGAAATTTCACCAGAATGGCAGGTTAGTAAGAGGATTAAATTCTTCTTTCATAACCTTAATTCATAAGAAGTTGAATCCTTTAGAATTAAAGGATTGTAGACCTATTAGTTTGATTGGATGTCTGTATAAGTTATTGGCAAAGGTGCTGGCTAATAGGGTAAAGGGTGTAATGTCAGGAATAATTAGTGACACTCAGTCTGCTTTTTTGGGGGGTCGTTAGTTGGTTGATAGTGTTCTAGTTCTAAATGAGGTGGTCGATGAGGTTAAGTTGAAGAAACAAAAGGCCTTCATTTTTAAAGCTGATTCTGAAAAGGCTTATGATTGTGTAGATTGGGCATACTTGGATTGGATGTTGTGCAGGATGGGCTTTGGAATGAAATGGCGTGGATGGATTAGAGAATGTCTTTCAATAGCAAGGATTTCGGTATTAGTGAATGGAAGTCCCACGGAGGAGTTTGTAATGGGAAAAGGTTTAAGGCAAGGTGACCCGTTATCACCGTTTCTGTTTCTGATAGTTGTTGAGGGGTTAACTGGATTAGTTAGGAGAGTAGAAACTGAAGGAATGTTACGTGGCATAACAGTGGGTAATAAGGGGTTAACTGTGTCTTTGCTTCAATTTGCGGATGATACGGTGATTTTGGGTAATGCGGACAGTGAGAATATATTTGCGGTTAAGACCATTTTAAGATGTTTCGAGTTGATGTCTGGATTACGGATTAATTTTTGCAAGAGTAGTGTGGTCGGGTTTAATGTGTCAGAAAGGTGGATTAAAGGGGTAGCAAGCGTCTTACATTGTGGTGTTGGGGAAACTTCCTTCATGTACTTGGGGATGCCGGTTGGTGGGAAGATAAGGTGTAAGAAGATGTGGGAACCTGTTCTGAAAAAATTTCGAGCCAAGCTTGCCATTTGGAAGTCTAATTCGCCGTCCTTTGGTGGCCGCATCACTCTACTCAACTCGGTACTCTCTGTTATCCCTATCTTTTATATGTCGTTATTTTTAATGCCGAATTGTGTGGTTTCGGAGTTGATTAGTATTCAACGGGCTTTTTTGTGTTGTGGGGTGGGGTGGAGTTAAAGAGGCGAATTCCATGGGTTAAATGGGAGTATATTTGTTTCAGTAAGAGGAAGGGAGGTCTTGGTGTAATAGATTTGTGTAGGAAAAACTAGGCTTTATTAGGGAAATGGTGGTTCAGATTAGGCGATGGAGTGGAGGGTTTGTGGAAGAAGGTGGTGCGGGAGAAATATTATGGGGGCAGGGAAGAAGTAGACATTAAGGCATTGGAGAGTGTGAGGGTGTCTAGGATTTGGGGAGATATTCTCAGTATAGGACAACGATCTGTAAGATTACAAGATTTGTTGGTCAAGGGGTTCAAATGGGTGGTAGGGGATGGGTATCGAGTGGGGTTCTGGAGGTCGATTTGGGTGGGGGAGAAATCTTTAAGGGAATTGTGTCCTCGACTGTTTGAGTTGGCCGTCAATAAAGAGGGATTAGTTAGTGAGCTGGGGGGGTGGGAGGAGGGTAGTTGGAGATGGAATATAATTTGGAGGAGAGGGAGGTTTGGAAGAGAGAAGGATGAGGAATTGATGTTGCGGGAGGTGTTGAGTAGAATCGGTATCAAGGTAGGGGTTGAAGATCGTTGGCAGTGGAGGCATGCTTCAGATGGGAAGTATGTGGTGAAACAAGCTTATGAGTTTTTAGAATTGACGGATGCTATTCTTAATGACTGGTTGTGTAAGTTAATTTGGTGTCGATTAGTACCGTCTAAAGTAAGTTTTTTTGGGTGGAGATTATGCCTTCAGAGACTTCCAACAAAATGGAATTTGCAAAAGAGAGGTGTGGCGTTAGAGGGGGGCTTAATGTGTGGGCTGTGTAAGGAGGAGGTGGAAGATACTAATCATGTGTTTTGTACATGTAACGAAGTGTGGTTAATTTGGGTTAAGGTATTGTTTTGGTGGGTATTGAGGTGGTGTTGCCGCCTTTATTGGAGGAGGTAGCAGAATTTTTCTTGTATGGGTTGGGTAAGGTGGTAGGGAAGGAATTGGGAGCAAGCATTTTTCTTATTACATCATGGTATATATGGTGTTGGAGGAATTGTACAGTGTTCAAGGGAGATGTGGCTCTTAAGGAGGGGTTGTTGGATATGATACAGGAAAAGACGTTTTTCTGGGTTAAGAATAAAGTGCAGGGATGTGTATTTTCTGTTTGGGATTGGAAGTTAAATCCACATGAGTGCGCTGCAGCTATGAGAAATCATAAGAGGAGGCAGAAGGAGTTCCATCAGCATCAACAAGGACGGGTATAGATGTAGAAGTAGCAAGATGTTTTCTTTACTATTATTTTGTTTCCATTGGTTATAATTTAATTTTGTAATTGGGTTAGAGTACCCCTTGTACTCTGCATAATAAAGTTGAATTCAAGGTCTTTAAAACCGAACTGGTTAATGAACCGTTTTTAGGTTTGGTTCTCGATTTAACCGGTTCAATCGATTGAACCGATGAACCAACCGGTCCAAACAGCAAGGAAGATTTGATGAGAAGAGCAAGCTGCAGGCATGGATTTTCTAATTTGGTGTTGATAATTTTGTAATTTTGTTAAAATTAAAGGTTAAAATGGATATAAGAAAGGAATGGGAAAGGTGAAATTGGAACAAATTGAAAGAAGATTGCATGAGAAATCGAATCGGTGGTTTTTTAGGTTTCATCGGTTTCATTGGTTTTCATCGGTTTTTATCGGTTTTATCAATTTTGACCAGTTTTGATCGGTTTTGACATCAAACGGTTTTTTTATGTAGATCGAACCATTTTCATCATCGGGTATCGATTTGACCGGTTCAACCAGTCAGTCCTGTTCGATTTTAAAAACCTTGGTTGAATTTTGCTGATAAAATATATATATATATAAAGTTGTGATGTACATTTGAAACAAACTTTTCTTCTCTCTCCGGTTGTTGCCCGGGGCCTCTTTTTTGTTCTATTGTGCTTTTTCCGGCATAGTTTGGTACCTCTCATATCCCCACCAACCCACTTAATCTGGCACAGTATGATTTCTCTTCCATGGTTCCATTATTGATTTTTTTTTTTTTTTTGGTATGTATACCCATGTCAGTATACACATGTGTTGTCTGTACACACGTGTGGTCTTTCGTTTTTGAGCAAGAGGAAATTTTGGAAAAAGAAAAAAATATTGTGGGCTGGTTAAATTAATTTTTTTAATATAGTTTATATTTAATAATTAATTACTATTATTTATAATTTAAAATATTTGACTTATTTAATTAAAATTAATAACTAATAACTCTTTTTAAAAGGCAATAATTGATATACATTTGATTTAACATATTATATAATATATTTATTAAAAATTTATTCTTTTTTATGTTAAAATTAAAAAAAAATTTAAAAATATAATCAGACATATAAGATGTAAGAATTTATTAAATTAATTGTATTTATATTATATTTTTAATAATTAAATTAAAAATATGTCAAAAAAATATATTAAACTAAATATATACCAATCATTTTTTATTTTTAAAACTCAAAACAAACATTCTTTACATCCATCTTTACAGAGACTTGAACCTTAAATATGGGTTAAGATTTTGTTACACATCATTAGCTCACCTGGTCTGCAAATGCCACACGTGTGGTCGTGTTACATTATATTTTTGTTGATTTTTCTATTTTGTACATAAGTGCACGCTCGTATATATGTGTTAATTTTGCCTGTGTGTTTTGCGGCTGTGGTAGCAATATGAACCGCATCCCAATCCTGGATTGGTGGGTGAGGACCAATAGATAAGTTCATGAGAATCACAGATAATTTCGTTTATACTTTATATATGTATTACATATTTGAAGCTGCGATTCTGTTACCTTCTAAATGTTTATGGGTTTGAAATGCCTTTATATCATGTTAAATAAAAAATTTATTTTATCGTGATAAAAAAGAAAAGAGAGAACTACATCTGAAAATTTCATCACCAAATATATGGCCAGGAATTTGATCACTTGTCAAATGCTATATTATATCTTGTCTCTGTCTAATAGACAGATTTTGGCATTTTTGTGAGTCACCAGAGATCATTAGGTCTATCACAAATCTAGCATATATTGTCTTGTCTGCTTCCACCAATATTTCAATTATTTAGTTGTGTTTGTACCTGTGGGCGAGGGCATTACTTAATGAACAATCCTAATCGATAATTCCGAGCCAATAATTTTTTTTTTTTTTTTCCAAAATGAAAGTCGGTATTTAGTTAGAGAGGGAAAAAGAGGTGTGATGATTGAGTGCACGTGTGGGTATGTGTTCACGTGCGCAT